GCTTTGCACAGCAAATTTGGAAGTGTTCCATAACTGCTTCTTTGTGTGCTTTGGAATGCCGTTTAAATTTTTTTGCGAAGCGATAAAAGCTGGGTAGCTCTTGAATTGCTACAAAATGGAGCCGTGTTTCCCTCAGCCCACTGGCTGCAATGTTGACACCTTGATATGTCATGAGACCTAATTTTGAACATCATGGCATGGAGTGCATCCCAGTTTTCCATGTCTGGCATGTAACTATTCATTTTAGTTTTTAAACTGGTTATATTGATCCTGTGTCCAGGTAGAGGGATAATCAGCAGCCCTGCATCATGACCTGTTTGTTCTGAAGATCCTGCAGCTTCCACTTCGTCTTCCTAACATGATGCCTCCTCACCCTGACTCTCATACTGATAGGAGGAACCACAGAACTTTGTTAAGTTAAAAGCACATCTTCTGAAGTTAGGATAATTTTCCTTCAGCTGGTCCCAAAGGAATCACCTCAAACCAGATGTTGGACTGGAATTTATTTCAATTTTATTTGTGAATGTTAGAGCCTCATTTTCAACAGTGGAGCTATACGGGTTGAAAAAGGTTATCATTTTGGAGAAAGTCTCACCAACACCAATATTTCCATTAAATAAGAGACCAAAATAAGTAGTATGTTTGACAGAGGGAAAAGCCTCTCAGACTCTGAGCTCAAAGCAAGATGTCAGAAAGCACCAAACTATTTTTTAAGTATTAGACAATTAATTTAATTTCACATAATTATTGTGGTAGAAGCCATTTGTTTGTTAAGTACTTAATAAAACATATTTACCGTATTTGATGTTTGTGGTGAATGGCGCATATTCTCAAACAAACAAGGTAATTAGTCCAAGTTTGTTCCAGGATTTTCTGGTTTTATTCACTTTTATTTTAACAGACTGTGAGAACTGTAAAGAAATCAAAATGGTCACATAATTCCCAGGAATGAAATGGAACCAGGATGGATGGATGATGGATGGATGAATGAAGGGAACTAGAATGGATGGAGAGAGGGGACCAGGATGGATGGATGAAATTCTCCGTACTCAGACACAAACAAAAAGGAGAAAGAGGAAATCAGAGATGAATTATTTTCATCAACATTTATTATGTTGTGATGGAAAATAAAAACCCAACTGAGAAGAAAGAAGCTGCTGAGTGAAGGACCGAAGGGAAGAAGTCCTCTTTGTTCTCAAACTTTAAATTCTAATGAATATTTAACACTGGAACTGGAAGACATTTAAAATATCCTAAATAAATAAACAGAAACTACAAAGTAAAAGAAATTATGAAGTTTCTGGTCTCAACTAAACCTTTTTTTTTAAAGAACAATTTTGTTTACAAAACACCAGATATAAGACTTTATTCAGCCAGGTTTTTGGTTGAAACTGAGAAACAAATCATGCAAATGGAAATTGAGGATGGGAAGGCGACAACAGGACAGATGCAGGCTCCAAGTCAAACCCTTTAATGACTCAAGAGTGAAATCACTTTTCAAAAACTCACTTTTAAATGTTACTTAAATAAACAGCAAAATACCTGCAGCATTCCTTAAGAAAGATTGCTAAGAAAGTTTCAAGTCAATGATCAGAAGCGTAGAATGATCAGGAAGATCAGGAAGCGTCACCTGGGAAAGCTTCCAGGGTTTCCTCCAGAAAACCTGCTGAGCCCGGTGGAAGAGCTGCTGGGGTCGTCCATCAGCGGTCTGCTG